TTTGTTCTGCTTTAAAGAACAACATTAGTATGATCTATATAGAGCTAGGTGTGTTTTAGAATCACTCCTATTATGTCCTTAGTCAGGTGGAAGTTGCTGAGAGTGGAGTCATTTCTTCCTCCTCATTAGCCTGCGCTATATGCTTTTACCACCAGCTGGTTTTGTAATAAATGGGTTTAAAAGGAGCAGCTCACTCTGTGTCCTTCATCGCTCAGTTTTTGCTTAACAGGAAGTATACAACAGAAGTTATGAATAGATGTTTCTTCGGCTAGTTCTGCCAAAATGCTTCCATGGGTGGTCTTTGGAATGATTCCCAGAAAGGGAGCATGTTCATTGGGGGCGATGGGAAGGAAAAATCATATGGATATTGCGCGGAAAGCTTGTTCCTCATTGCATCCTTCCGTCATTCAAAGCACTTCATGGAGAGGAAGAAGTTGTGTTGGAAATTGGCTCCAGTTCTGGGTTTGTAAAAAAAAATTCCTGGCCCTTAAAAAATATACTGTATTTTGCAGTGCATTAGGTGAATCTGAACAAAAAGGCTAGGCAATTCCTTGAAGAATTTTCTCACGCAGGGGAGGATTTTTAGAAGATGAGTAGAAGTTTTAGTTTCACATTTCGTGCTTAGATTAAACAGCATGTAAAACAGTATGTAAGATGATAGCTTTTGAGCAAATAAACAATTTATTTTGTATATGCCCCTTTCTTGCAAGTGGAAGTTTTAAAATGAGCAAGCAAGTTACAGTATACAGAGTTGGAGCCTTTTTTTTTTAAAGATTGCCTTGGGGACTACACTGCCACAAAGGGTGTAGGGACAGAGAGTGGAAAGGGTCATGGCTGAATTTGAAAAATAAGTGAGCTGATTTCAAAAATATTTGTTTTTACTATCTGAAATTCTGTTGTTAGATTAGGCATCCTTCAGTCTCGAGAGACTATGGTAATGTGCTCTGAATAGAGGACTTGGAACAGCATCTAGTGTGGCTGAGAAGGCCAATTCGAGAGTGACCATCCCTTCCACACTGAAGACAGATACAACCTGTCTCCTGTCCAGCTCCCTGGTTTTGCTGCTTTCGTGACTGCCTCTTTGCCTCGGCCTGCTGAACAAGGGTCTCTTCCAATTGGGAGAGGCCGTGATGCACCGCCTGCCTCCAGGCTGAGCACTCAGAGGTCAAGGTTTCCCATTGGTTGAGGTCCATTCCTAAGGCCTTCAGATCCCGCTTGCAGCTATCCTTGTATTGCAGCTGTGATCTCCTTCTGGGACACTTTCCCTGCACTAGTTCTCCATATGGAAGATATTTTAGAATCCGACCATCAGCCATTCTCATGACATGCCCAAGCCAACGTAGACGTTGCTGTGCTACAATTCTGTTGACATGCCCAAGCCAACGTAGAAGTTGCTGTGCTACAATTCTGTTATGCAGTTACACAAAAAGCAGAACTTCTGAGAGCAAATTGCAGTGAGTTAAAAAATATCCACTGAGTCATGCTACTTGGCATGCAACAGGTAATGCCGATGATTCTCCATCTAACTGTGTGTGTCAATAATCACTATCCTTTTTTGTGTGTGTGCAGGTATCAAGTCAAAGAACATACTGCAGGAAAATGGCAACAAAATGGCTTCCCTAACCAAAAAGTAAGTTCCTTGGCAATGAGGAAACTGAAGAACTTATTTATTTATTTATTTGATTTTTATAGTGCCCATCTTATTTCTTAACTTAAGGCAGTTACTTCATTTGTGTAACTGTGCTACATGATTTTGGCATTGTCTAATCATAGATTTAAATAGTTAAAAATAGTTTTTAAATTATTATATTTCATGCCTCGTTTTCATCACATATTAAAGTTCACCCAATTGTTCTGTTAGTAAAATGAGTAAGAATCCTTATTTTTGAACCACGAGCATCACTCTGTAAAGAGTGGAATGGAAAAATTTCCTAATTAAATTAAGAATTCAACCTCTTAAGAAAACAATTGACTTAACCATCTTAAATACTGAAGTTTTAATTCGATAGAAATAAACAGCCAAGGCTAAAGGAAGAGGAATTGTGAAGAAATACCTGGGGAAAGGGTTGTAACAGAGAAGAAATTGCAATTAATCCGATCTTGCACTTTGCTGCTGGATTTTGGAGGCAAGCCACAGTAATATTTCTATTCATTTATTTTTGGCTTGGGAGCTGTGCTTTGCCCTCTCTTGCCTTGAAAATGTTATATGCTTGTCAGACTTCTTCTGCTTGATAAAGAAAACCCTTAATGTTCAATTCAGTGTATCAGGGGGAATTTTATTGAGTTCTGCCAGACTGATCGGTGCTACTCTTGATGTTTTAATGGCGTTTTCATTCTGGAACAAAAGAAAACAAGAACACTTCAGAGGCTTTCTTATCCAGCATTGTGGGTCCCCCATGGGCCAGCTGGTCATTTCTCACAAGCTTCAAAGCACTACCTAAAAGCAGCAATGGGAGGCTCTGGCAGTGGATTTCTTACACTAATAAGAAAGAATTCCAGTTGCCATGCTTCAACGTCCAGATAACCCTAACCTGGATGACCTGAGAATCTTCACAGATGCCAGCTAGGGATGGGACTAGAGACACTCTGAGGTCCCATTCAAGTTGTTTCATTTTCTCTTTGTTTGTCTGAGTAGACGAACTCTTCACCAAACATGCAACCTTGAATTGAATTAATCATTCTGCCTTGGCTGCAGATGATTCAAAGACAACATGTTAAAATTAGAGATGTGGTTATTCATATACAAATACAGTGGTGCCTCGCATAACGGTCGCCCCGTTTAACGACGAATCCGCATAGCAACGATGTTTTTGCGATCGCATAACGATGTTTCCTATGGGGGGAAATCGCTTTGCGATGATGGTCGGTAAGCTGTTTCGCTTACCGATTTTCGCATAGCGATGATTTTTCCCCAGCTGATCGGCGGTTCCAAAATGGCCGCCCGGTAAAACAGGGACGGATTCCTTGCTTACCGGGCAGCTAAAATGGCCGCTGTATGGAGGATTTTCGCTTAAAAGGTAGGTTCTAAGCTCATAGGAACACATTGAAGGGGTTTCAATGCTTTCCTATAGGCTTTTTAATTTTGCATTGCGACGAAATTGCTTTGCAGCGATTTTTGCTGCAAGGATTATCGTCACTATGCGGGGCACCACTGTACGAATATCCCCTCCTCCACAGGTGCAGATAACGAGGGTCCGGCCCCCTGGGGCAGACTGACCTCTCACCTGTCCGCCTCCGTTGCTGGCTCCGAACTCCCTTCCTATTGCTCTGGAGCTCACAACGTATTAGCCACTCTTCTACCTGGCAGAGAGGCTCATCCTCCCATCTTCTGCCAGGAGTGGCTAATCCATCGCAAGCTCTGGAGTGATAGGAAGGGAGTACGGAGCTCATGGCAGGGGAGAAATTCTGAGTGGTTGGTCTGGCCCCATCTCTAGTTAAAATCAACACTAACAAGTATGCCACCCTTCATCCATGAAGATCCATTCAATTCCTTCACCCTTTTCAGCCCCCCACCCCCCAAAAATCTGGTGCTTAGTACCTGGTGGCAAGTGGGCTCGGGAGCACTGGTAATGACTTGGCAGGTCAAAAGAAATTACTTCATTACTGCAGTTGAAAAAAAAAATTCAGGTAGCAGAGCTAAAAGGACCCTTTTCAGAATCCTTGGAAGGAATCCTGAAAAGGATTCCTTCAGAATCCTTTTCAGAATTCTTATATCCAGTCAATATAAGAATATTCGGTGTAAGGCAGCTTCCTGCGTCTGTCCTTGTGATATACAGAATTTGGAGTGTTTATCACAGTTCTCATAACACGTTTGACAAAAGGGGTGCACGGTTGCCAGCTGTTGTTTAAAGAAAAAGGAAGCCAGATGTGTAAGTTGGGCTAAGCCTTTTGATGTAATTCTTCACTGCATAGGCCAGTGTATTTCTTGTAAAAATGTCTGTGGTTATCAGAATGCATACCAAGTGTGACTAAGGGATGTTTCATAGTAAGGATTTTTCTTCCCTACTCCTGGTGAATCCCTTTGTGTCCAGTGTCAAGTTTGAGTGACTCATGGCGTATGTCTGCCAAAGTCTCCTGTCCTGCCAAGCAGCTTTATTCCTGTAAATTTCAACTCTGGGTCTGACTTACTGGTATGGCTTTAGAAGTTGTTCCCTTTGCTCTGGACAAGACTATGATTTTGTGCCAGCTTCCCAAAGGGGAGGTTTGGTTACACGCTTGCCCAGGGTGGATTTGATTTAAATCAGATGAATTTAACTCACAATTCAAATTTGAAGGAAAAAAACCACACACACACAGATTTTTCATGATTTGAATCAAAAAGTCAAATTTGAAGCAATTTAAATCATGATTTAAATCTGTTTTATTTTTTTAAAAAAATCATTGATTTTTATACACCCTGTGTCTGCCTAAGAAAGAGGATGTGGATATTCCTCGTAATAGAAGTGCTGTTATTTTTAAAAAATTAACAGGGTATTAATGTTTTTTCTTCTGAAGTTGCTCCCATGTCCATGTTATCTTCACAACAGCAACTCTGAAAGAGAGATCAGGCTGTGAATCGCTGTGAGGCTAGTACAAGGGTCTCCAAACTACGGCCCGCGGGCCACATCCGGCCTGCCT